CATGGCACTGAATCATAAATGACACTTATATCAAATTGGAGTTTCTTTGTTTACAGCTGAGGGATGAAACACAGACATACCACCCTGCATATACCCTGAACATGACCATTTAACTTGTCAGACGGTTTGACAACCCAGCTATTTTGCCCGCCACCGTTCTCTTTCAAATTCTATTCCTCCAGCCTTGAACCATATGGAATTCAGCTATGTTGAGCTTTTTCTTCGGTTTGCACAGTCCAATCTACTTTATATGTTATTTTTCGGCCTACCTACGGTCACAAATTACCACCACACATCTACCACAACCCCGAAATTCCTGTTTGGAATAACTTTGGCTGGGCTTCCATACCCCTTCCTTTCTATTTCAAAGCTTCGTTTTGTGAAGGAAGAGGAGGGAGAGGGGTGAGCTGAAGTTCTAGAAACTTTCCTGTTTCTCAATGAAGTTTTTATCGTCAGTTTCTGGAACTTTCACGCTTTTTAAGCTAAAATTGAAATTGCGGCGAATTTCTGAGAAGCAGCTGCCTTATGCGAGTGGCCGTTTTTGTTGATTTTTTTTTAGTTTTTATAAATCTTTCTTTGACAGATATAATGGGACGCTGGAGAGCAGTAACAGTTATCCAAATGGTCGGAAGCATCGTTCAAAAATGTTACTACGCAAACGCTTAATGGGTAATGGTATAAAGAAAGCTCGAAGCAGCTTGGTTAACGTGCCACCATCACAGAGTCAGGTACGTTGCACTTCCTCAAAATTTGTAATACGCGTTTCTTCTTTTTTTCCTTTTTTGAAAAGTGCGAATTTTAGAGTTTTGAAACAGAGAATGTGATTTTTTTTGACCGTACAGCCATCAAATTTCCCGTAAGGTAGATATTGCGACGGAGATCCATCATCATCATCGCAAAAGAAAGATTAGCTGATGGATAATGTCGAAAGGCGGGCACATACATATTACTAAATGTTACTTTTGAAAAATAAGACTATCACTGGTAGGGAACGGGGAAGGGGAAGGGGTGGTGAAGAGGGTTTTCTTACGAGACAACTAGC